TATGTTACTCTGTTAACATAGTTAACAGAGGCTTTTTATAGAGCAATAAAATAAATTGCAATAAAATAAATTAAATTAAATTACATTAAATTAAATTAAAATTTCAAACTAAATTGCTTACGATAGAGAGTAGCTAATTAAGAATATCAGTATAATAAAACTAATTAAAGTTAAAATTTAAAGAACTTTATTCAGTTTGCTCTAAGTTGACGTATATTTCAAATTATCATATCTGACAAACCTTCAAATTATTCTTCATCTTTATCCTTACCGTTTAATTATATGTACATGAATCAAAGATTAGTCAAGTTACGTGATTTCGTTATAATAATGTGAATCAACAAACCGTGATCTGAAAGTAAAATCTACAAAGAAATGAAGAAAATATTTTCAATGCAGTTATATCACTGCGATTGGAACATTTTATGCTGATCATCGTGAATGTTTCATTGTCTTTGACTTTCTTTCTCCGACACTTATTCACGCTAAATGCATCGTTTATCATCTCGTATTAAAAATCGTGTCCTCAACAATGCGATTGCACGTTAATTCATGGAGAAGACCTTACGATCGCTTAAACCCACGTGTAGTCGATCTACCGTGATCATCAAGATCGGCTGCAATAATAACATGATGAACAGACATAACTGTTGGCACTCTTCGAATTTTGAGAAGGCCAGAGAAAAGCATAGAGATAGCAATTTTAGCGAATGGTAATTGCGAAGATTGATCGCTAACAATAAGTAGCAATAACAATGGAGAACCGGATGGAAATTGATTGCGGGTAATCAGATTTGGTTCAGCGTATACGATTTTGGCGATCGGACGTAAGCTACGAAATTAACTTTCCGAACACTATTAATTGCATCCTGCCCCTTCCGGATCACATAGCTCCGCGACCAAATCGAGTGATCTAAACGATTAGTAATGTCTGTACGAGAAAGGACGCCGTCTTAATGGACTCTCTTTAATGGGCCGTCTCGATAGAATAAATCGAATGAATATTAATTATCAATCGATTATCATGACGGATGATTCAACTGAGAGGAATCTCGAGTTTATATTTGTTGATCGCTACGCGTTCGCAGGTGTTTTTTTTTATTTATTTCTAGAGAGCATCAAAAAGAGAAATTTATCAAAGTAATGACTGGATAAGCTTGTTCGAATAGAGAACATGAGTCATGTAGATAAAGAGTCTAACAAATGCGTATTAAAACTTACATGACTGCTCGCAATTTCTTTGCAGAGATACCAATAAAACTGAAAATGCTTTTCATCTAATGTCACATCAAGTAAATAATTAATTAATACATTAAATGATTTAAGGAAAGAAGTAAATAAATCAAAGCATTTTATTATTGAAAGAAAATAAATCGAGATAGCCGAATAAATGAAACGGTGATTTAAAAGTAATGAGAAACGACGATATCTTTTTGATACTTTCATTGAAAAAAAATCAATTTTAACCCTTTGGTATCACACTACATGAACGACACACTTAAATATGACATACCCAACCCCATAATTTGATTGCTTGTAACTTTCATAAAAGTGAATATATTGTAAAGAATTTTTTCATTGAAAACACACAGTCATTAAGGAACATAACAGTACCAAGTAAATGTATGTACTTTATTCAAAAAAGTCATAAGCAATAGAAAAGCATTAGAAAAACTATAGAAAAAGAAAGTTTGATCATGCCATACCCAGAATGGTACCAAAGGATTAAATTTATCTAAAAGCTCGTTAAAATTAAATTCGTGGATGACAAAATGTTCCATATACCTATTCTAAAACGACAGGTAATGAATTCTTAATGTCATCATAAATCAATGTTAAGAGTATAAGTCAATTTTATTCGTCACGCGATTGAAGCTTCGTTACTTTCGATACCCACCTGATCGGAGGTTCACTTCACTTTCGGATAAAAGGTCAATCGATCGGTAACTTTCGCGGTGAACCGTGGCACGGATGTACGACTTATATTATTACTATTCTCTTTCTTTTTGTTTATTTTTCTTTTCACACAGATAGACTCTTTCACGTAGACGCTTTTCAACGCGCGTTACGTTCGGAAGTGCGCGCGAGGAATGAAAGACGAGAGTACGAGACCGCTTTCCACCGCCGATATCACCGCGACTCGCGACGCACGACAGCGGACTCGGCAGGTGTGACGGCGACGAGCGAGCGCGACATGGGTCGTGTACCCGTGGCTTCTTTTCGATTCGAGTCATGGTGGAGGTCCTCAAGGTCTACCCCGCGCTTCGGCACGCATGCACGCACGCATGCATATTGCGCTTTCGAGAGCCCTGGACTCCGAAGGCTCTCGATAGTCTCGGTTCTCAATGGCACTTTTTACGACTTCCGTCGTGCCGTCTCAATTGAGGAAGATCGATTCCGGACACCGAATCGTGGAAATCCACCGGCGATCTCGTAATTCAGAGACGCGATAATGTTGTAGCAATTATTTATCGCACACTCGGGAACGTAAAATTATCTCGATCAGTCGTAATTCTGATATTAAGATTTTAGATCGTATTATTTGTATTTAAAAAAAAATAGAGAAAAATATAGTAAGATATGTAAATAAATAAAAATGTCATCTATCCCAATCTTGGAATATCGTGTTTTATTATTGGATTCGCAGGAAGATTAGCATTAGAATAATTTCTTTTATTTAATTCTGATTTTAATCCTGATATTAAGATTTTAGATCGTATTATTTGTATTTAAAAAAAAAGTAGAGAAAAATATAGTAAGATATATAAATAAATAAAAATGTCATCAACCTTGGAATGTCGTGTTTTACTATTGGATTCGCAGGAAGATTAACATTAGAATAACTTCTTTTATTTAAGGATCACGTTAAACAATTTTATAGTTCGGATTACGTGAATGTTATATAAAAATAAAATAACATTTCTACAAACTGAAAATTAAGATCTTTTACTAAAAAATCTAGACTCGAGCGCGCCAAATAATATTCATCATATATCTATTAATTAAACGACGTAGACATTCAAAGTAATTCGCTAATCACTTTCAAAAATATAAATAAAAATAGAGATGCTTGCTAAAAATTCTTTCAGAACTAGGACGAATTAGTTAGTCACTTTTTTCTCACAAATAGAGAAAATAGAGATTGATAGATCTTTGAGACGATGCGAAATTCGTGCGAAAAATAGTGCCGCGTTTAAGACAATTGTCATAGTGATAGTAATCGTCACAAGATCGTCGCTGAACGTGACTCGACGTTTTTACACACCTGATGTCAATTTTCACAGTTGTGCGATTTATCATGTAAAAAAAGAAGCAATACTAACCTCGATTATCTGGTGTTAACTGGAGGAGTCTGATGGCGTCATCATGAGTTTCGCGCTGAATATTGCACACGCACCCACAACACATATATGTCAGTAACAATAATAAACCATCGAATTGGGTTTAGATACGATAAAGGTGTTCTTTGTGTTCAACATTGAAAAAAATTTGCCGCAAATTTTCTATCGTTTAAAATAAAATCTGATTGGATTCTTCTCATTTTCTGCAAAGATCTCGTAAGCTATGTGCATATTAAATATTCAATATGATTTTGTATTAATCAACAACTCAAATGAAATAATTTGCATGAAAATATGATTTAATTAATCGATTGTGCTTCAAATTAGAAATTATCTCTTTCTCCTTTTTAATTAAAAAAATGATAATTTAATTTAAAATTTGTAAAGCGTATTGATATTCACTGCATGTGAATACTTCGAGAAATTAAATTATTATTTTCCTCTTCTTTAATTTAAGAAAAAAATGTTTCAAATTTTTTCAAATTAAAAGTGTTTAAGGGCGCCAATTTAAGGCGTTAAAAAAAATTAATACGTATATATAAAGTGAGATATGTATGAATTGATAACGTTTTGCTTAATTAATTTCGAATGTTTGTAAAAAAATACACACACACACACACACACACACACAAAACACTTTTTTTAGAATATTACTTTTGAATCAGCGTTGCACGCTCCTGGTCGTGTATTTATTCGTAAATGATTTGGTCAAGGCTTACCCAATTAAACATATTTGTCACATTTGTCTTCGATATTAGCATTCCATAGCCTTATCGGACGCGAAAAATCCGAGGAATATCACAACTATCGTCGTTCTATCGCGTTCCATAAAAGAACGACTCGCGTACCGCTATTGTGACCCGATCAATCACATTTACTGGAAACAATGCATACCGTGCACACAGTGCGAAACAAGAGAAAGAAAGAGAGAAGGCGCGTAAACTCAATTCAACTATTTTTATTAGCAGCTTAATATATAAGCTACGACAACTAAGTTCTCGCGATGAATTGCGAAAAAGCGCAAACCGTCGTCGTCGTTCGACTCCACGTGAACACGTTGCTCGGAGCCGCAGCTGATTACGTTTGACGGAGGATTTTTCAGATGTCGATTGCGGCTCGTGGAGCTTTATCTCTGCTGTCTTTCGATAAAGTGATAGCAGCTTGCCCGATATCAGTGAATCGCCGCACAAGAATTCCTGTGCCTAATAGAAATTTTATTTCTCGTCTCTCTCGTTCACCGATCGTACCTGCTTAAACGACTGTCGCAAAATTACGGTGACATATCAGTAGCGAGAAGTGTTAACTCTTTCGCAGTTTCGCAATACTTTAAATAATATCAATTCTAAAAACATCATTCGAATGATATCTTTTAAGGAAACGTCACATAAATTCTATAACAAATTATAGAAATAGAAAAAATATAAAATAAAAAAATGCATATTTTAAATAAATTTTGGATTTATAACGGAATATTTATATAAGTATTTTGAATGTTGCGCGTGTTACATCATCAACAGTTATATTATTTTTTTGCTTTACTTGATAGTAAACAAATAAGATTTAACAGATTATTTTTAGCCGCGATTCATATTTCGACAGAATGAAAACAGAGGAAAGCTATTTTAAGATATGTTTAAAAACATCGCAAGAAAGATTTATAAAAAAGCACATACAACACTTTTATTAGTCACATAATACATTTATTTACGCTATTTTATACGTTTTTGATTGCAAACAGAAAGAAATACGAACTACCTTCTGCTCATTGATAACAATTACTATGTCAGAGGCAGAGTTTTGCTTGTATTCTCATTAAACAAGTTTACATTGCTTCTGCATGTCAACCAAATCTTTTATCTATACGCTCACTGGACACTGAAGAATTTATAAATCTACACAGCTCCAATAATTCCGTGAGCGAAAATCTAAAAAAAATCTAACGACGCAAGAGGAAATCACGTGAGATTCCCTAATTATTCCATATAAATCAGATATTCTAGATTCTTCTCTCACTAAACTTTTCTTTCTTTTCTCATTTTACTGTACAACGTTTACAACGATTATAGACTGTCTATTCATAATAAGAAAGTAGAGGAAGAATTGCTCGATGCATGCGTTATAAAGATAACAAATGCTTATTTAATTGTAAGATCATATAAATTATTTACTTATCAAATAAAAGTTACAAACAAATATTTTATAAAGCTGCATATCGTAATGAATAAAGACGGCGAATAAACAAAAAATAAAAAAAAACCGTTGAGTATTTGTCTATAAAGCTGATAGAAACAATTATTTAACTGACTGCAATTATTTTCACCTCGTATCCTATTTATTCAATAGCATTCGAGTTGCAAAAAAAAACGGCAAAAAATCTACTTTGAAAAGGTACTTAAAAAAAGCCGTTTCAAGCGTATCAACGTGCGAATCAATAAACATTTTAAATGTTTAAAAATGATAAAATGACATGCATAACATAATCGTTTACATTAGGAAAATATACGTTGAATATTTGTGACAACTTCTGGAGGGAGCTCAGTGAAAAGAGCATTCCAATCGTTTACAAAATCTCGTTGAACAGACTTGATAAACTCCATAACGAGATTTTGCGTTTCTGTAAAAAAGAAAAATATATTGTAATCTTTATCAAGTCGAAAGATACTGCAAAGAAAAAACAATTATTTTCATATATTTTTCAAACAAAAATATGTAAAAATAACATACATGCATTATTCTCAAATTACTTGTCACAAAATTTATACAAGTTAAAAAAAAATAAAATCGTATTTTTAATTTTAAAAAATCTCTTGAAAAATTCTTAAAAAATGCTCATCAAAATGCTATTAATTAAATTTAATTAATTAAATTAAAATCTCACCAACGTCAAGAGCCTTTTCTTCATGTAATATGATAACTGCAACTTTCAACAACGTATGAATGTAAGACTGCAAGAGAGTGACTCCAGCTTGATATAACGTAAGAATACTTTGAAACACGGCTTTATGCTCTAGGAAGTCAGCCTTTAAAGGTAACTGTTCAACGAAAACTGGAAACACTTGTTCAAGTGGCAAATTCGAATAATTTGTGATAATAAGTCGTGCAATTGCCCCAACCACGTTATCACGTGCAGCTGCATCTGTTTCTTTTGCAATAGCACACGACAAAGTTTGAAGAATATTAGGATAATGTCTGTGTAATAATTGTTAAGGAATATCAATAAAAAATGTTTACCTGTATAATTATTTTCATGAAAATTTGCTAAATAACTATAAAAGAATTACATTTCTTTATAAAATAAAATTATATAAAATAGTATTTTCTATATATAATGTATATTTTTAATATCTTAATCATAAAAAAAATAATTATGAAAAAATTAAAAATATTTTCCAATATTTTACAATATCTTTTAATAAATACTAAATTTGTATAGTATTTAATACAATATATTATTGAATGGCAAATTATTGCCAAATTTGAAAAGATAATTAATGATAAATATACTCATCATTATAAAATAACAAAAGGATACGGATAAACTGCTTCTTTTCCATACAAGGCAAGTTCTCCAATTCCAAAGAAGCAATTACTACGAACTTCGCTGCAAGGATCTTGGGCTCCAGTTTGTAGAAAAGTCGGAAGCAATTGTGAAACAAACGCAGCTGTCATATGTTTAAGTCCGGATAAACATTCAGATATTGTTCCAACAGCAAAGGATCTCTGCGCCTCTGAATTGTCCATTTTCTGTAAGCATTTTGCTAAGTTAAAATTGAAATCGAAAATTTTTCAAAAAAATGCAGCATAAAAATCAGTAGTACTAGTCTTTTTAAAAAGAAAGGCAACATGGTTTGAAAGTAAAGTGCAAAATCTTCTGCCGAGAGTACTCTGCCCAAATGAGAAAATACAGTCCCCGCGCATTCTATCAGTAATCCGTCTTGTTCTGCTTCGATGTCAATGCCTTCGATCTCTTCTTGATCCTGACATGCTGTTTTGTCTTCGATAAAAATTATAATTCTGATTTGCGTGTTGATTTATTAATGTAACAAACGTAAATAAAATACGCAACGCAAATACCTTTCATCACATCCATTACACAATTTACTATGGCTTCTTTATGACCTATGCCGGCGATAACATCTGATTTAACCTGTCTTAAAAGTGTTTGATATGCCTCCAAACCGCAAATGGCAACCGTCGGTTCTTCGTCTAATCTTATGAGCTCTGACAATTTCGGGATAAACATGGAAAGAGCCTTCAATAGTGCCTTTTTTCCTTCGTCAGTATTGATTTTCGATAAGTTAATGCAAAACTGTAATAGAGCCTCTATACTCGCTTTCCGTATATCTTCTTGAGGATAATTTATCAATTTAAAAATCTCTTCGAAAGATCTTTCGAGGTACGGCATGAATGCTTCTCTGCAACAATATTTTTAAACATAATTAATCCAGTTATTAATTAAAAACTCGAAAAAAGGAAAGCTTACTCTGTGTGTTCCGCAATCTCCTTCAGCGCCATCACGCTTTCTTCTTTCTCTTCCATATAGGCATTTTCAACAGTGTAACCTTCGACCTCTTCATCATCATCTTCGTTATCAGTGCATTCAATGTCTTCTTCTTCATCTTCTCGTTCATTCTCGGTATCGCTGAGATCATCGTAAACTGTAAGAGCGTTAGTTTCGTCGTCCTTAAAATGCATCTGTAATGACAATGTCACATTTATACCATTTTCATAAGTTTTTCAACTGTCATAATTTGTGCAATAATTACTAAAATTCCATCTGCACTCCTTATACTCATTATCATGTACTCGACAATTTCGGGCAAAGTCACAGCCATCTCTTTCTTCATTATTGTGCTAATAGCGGCGAACAACCCATAAAGAGATTTCCGTAAGTCTGGATCGACTGTATTTCTTAGTAGTTTTATTCCAAGATCAAGTGATGTAGCTGCTAATGGGGCGAAATGTTTCTCACCTATTGACCTGGCTACCACTCCAAGAGTATCTAAAATATTAGAGGTATAAAATATAAAAAATATAATTACAGATTGTAATGCAAGTAACTAATTGAATAAAGTGATTCTTACTAACCTACTGCTTGAATTTGAAGACACATGTTTTTCTCGCTCGGCTCTGTGGTAAGATAATTATTAAGAATATTTATAATTGTTTCGAAATACGGTAACATATGCTCCTCGCTGGCACAAGCAGCAGCGCCTACTGCGCTCAGAGTGAGCTCCTTCACGTGCGGCGATGTATCCGCGTTTAGGATATCGAATAATCTCTCCATTAATTTGGGCAAGTATGGCAGGATCTTCTCGTTCAAGTTCTCACAAAACATTTCGAGAGCGTAGAACATACGGCCGACTGCATGCGGTTCTTTCTTCTCTTGTTTGATGTACGAGCATATTTGGCCGAGATATTCGAACAATACGGGCAGCAACTCGGATGAGTATTGTGATATCTCCGGTTGCAGATGTTCGGAGTATTGTCCTAAGGCATAAAGCGCGGCATTGCGCACAACGGGCGAAGGATAGGAGATTCCTTCGCAAATACATCGCAGGAAGAATTCAAGATAGTTTGAACGAATATATTCAGCGCAACCTTCTGCTAAGACAGCTATAACCACGTACGACGTCTTCTTTACATAATCATCTGTGCTTCGAAGTCCAGGTTCGATATGTCGCAACTATGAAATTAATATTTCTTCACTTTAGTATAGTTTTCTTAAATTTGATAGAGAGAATAATCGAAGACGCAAAATAATCAATAATTTATGGAGACAAAAAATGCATAAATTCATAAATTGTAATATCGATCGATCTCAATAGAGTGAAATATCAAAGTTTTATACGATATTCTATAATAGAAATTTTCTGTCGTAATAATTTTATTTCTAACACTATGAAATAAGAAATTCAAGATGTAAAACTATATTATAAAAAAAGCAGATTATATAATTAAATTATAATTAAATTGTATATAATAATATATATTATAATCAATATATCTGATGTAATAAAAAAAAATTCTGAAGCTTACCAAATGTGGAATTAACTTTTCCGGCGGCAAGTGCATCGCAAGCAAGTCTAAAGTTTGAGTAATGCTTGTTAAAACAGTATTTCCATTATTTGTATTTGAACAATCATCGTCTTCCTCTGGCTTACTCATCATGACTGCGAACAACATATCTGCAAATCTCGAGATTATTGAGTCGTCCTGCTAACATGGGTTAATTACTGAAATAGATCGCTCACCGACGATAGATTCCACTAATTTGTGCTTTACGAGAGCCTTTTTCTTTAATCTTGCTAGCCAGCCGATAAAACTGATCACCTTAATTTTCAAAAGTTCGTTTATAGATTTATTAGCAATGATCGTAAGGCACATATGGACAAGAGATTTTACATGGGGCGTTATTACAACTATCATGTTCATTTCGCATAATTCATCCAATAATTCAAAACTTTGGACAGCAAAATCATTATGTTCAGCTTCGGTAAAAGTCTGAATTGTGGTCATTATTAGCGGCATCATTGTAGTATAAGTATGTAGTGTCTGAAATGATATATTTGTCAACAACAATATTTTACAATAATCAACTTTGGGGTGACGAGTGGCTACGTGTAGGAGCGACCGACTCGTAATCGGCAGGTCCCGAGTTCGATCCCGACCTTCACTCCATATATCTAGTTTACAAGAGGTTTTCTGAGAGATTTACCTCAGTTTTTATAAGAGAGATGATTCAAGAGTTAGAAAAAGTTTTAAATAAAACTGCATAAGTTAATGATTGTAATCCGTTTCGGGATATATATTACATATAAATAAATAATATAAACTAATATATAAAAACATAAATAACTGTAAACACTGACTAATATATATATATATATATAAATAAGATTATAAAAGTTTGACAAAAATACCGCGTACGATACTAACCGTTTCATCGTGTTTAGCTACAGGAATAAGATGCCGCAATGTTTCCAAAATATAAAAAGCGGCAGGGTTTCCTAAATTCTGAAGACTGCTCAACGTTTGAGCGAGAAGCATCACTAGAGATCTGGCATGCGAGGAATAAGCATCCGGAGTAACGTCTGTCATAATTGATAAAGTATAAAGGCCTAGCTAAAATCAAATATTTCTTGATAAAATAATGGACAGATTCTTGAATATCTTCTTTAAATAAATCTCAAAATTAAATGGAACCTTTCTTGGTTGCATATGACTTAGTTGATAATAAACATGATATTAAATATGTATTTAATATCACTTTGAAAAAAAAGTTGATATTAAGTTAAGTTTAAATTTTTGCTTACTTCTTTATTCTCCAACCTTTCATTAGTAATTAACTGTTGCACATAATGTATAATTTCTGGCCAACTATTTGTAGGTAATTCATGTTTAACAATGACACCTATTAATTGAGCTATGCTATTTCTAACCAAGTTTGCTGATTCATGTTCTAAAGCCTAAAAAAAATGTCATAGATAACATAAAATTAAAATGCATAATCCTAAATATTACTTAAACTGTAAAATTTCGAGTTCTATCGTGATATTTGTCTTTTGTTTAAAGAATTATTGGTTACGTTTACACTGTGCATTTAGGCTGCAGCCTATACTCCAAATTCAACTTTCAATTATTTAGACTCCTTGGTGTAAAGTACAGTTGGTAGATGATCTATCTTTATGGTCAGATCTAGTTTTTTGGTGACTCGACTTAAAATATAGGTCAGGCCGCAAAATAAATCTCTTGGTGTAAACGTAGTCACTTTCTAGAATCGAGCTTTAAAACTTACATTCATTTATTTCTTTGTTTGAGAAGCAATACAACTTTGATAGATTTATCTAAGAACATGTATACCAAGAAATATAAAATGTATAACGGAAATTGAGTGAACTTAATGATATGAAATTTTGTAACTTAAATCATCAAATATACAATATTATAAAAATTTCTCACCTGTAATATAATTTTCTTAAATTCGGTTCGTACAGGTATAGACAATTTTGTCCAGTATTTTCCTTTAGTATAACGTCTTCTAAGAATGAGAGTCGCATATTGCCGTACCTAAAACAATTTATCCTCTATTTACATTCTTGCTCAAAGTATAAAGAGTGAACTTAGTCGACTTAATTCTAGAGAAATTACAAACCTCCGGATTCGATGATGTTACAACAAGTTGGCATAAAGCTGGCACACTGTCTGGATTCTGAAGTACTTTCTTGAGTTCTTTAGTTGCCTGAAATTAGACATATTGATGCAAAACCATTTCGAGCAAATTACCGGCTGTTTAATATTGCAACAGATGACAACAATAATAGATAATCAAAACAGAAGAATTAAAGACCACGACGTCGAGGTCTGATCAAGAGAATTCTGTGATTCTGTGAGAAGACTTCGCGAGTGTCCAGCGAAATATTATTCCAATAAAATTGAAAGTGCAGCTAATCGATGGAACGGAAGGAAAACACGTGTTCGCAGTGCTTCAACAGGCTCCGATTTGACAAAGGGAAAATGATAAATATTGAAAATGCACAAACCTCCTGTATCGTAGCGCTATCGGACGCGAGCAGGTTTAACAACAGACGTTCCATTTTTCTTTTTCTCTTTTTTTTTCTTGCTTTAGCCGAAAGGTAAAAATTCACTCGAGAGCACGGACGGAAGGTCGATTCGACTGCTACCCACCGCCGCCATTCAGGCCTACGAGGGACCTGTTCAGAGCATCATGATTCAGACTTGTTGGCGACGTCTATGTGGATACTCCTCGCCGTCAGAGGGCTCGTCTTGTCGTTGCTGACGATACTGATCTATTCATAGTTTTTTTTTCTCTTTTCAAATCGCGGTGATTCCACTGGTCTCAAATGCCGCAAATGGGACACGTGACAATTGACACACGAAGTTCTTCCTGAACAATATAACTTAGCTGAAACCATATCAAAGAACCATATTAAATGAGTGTAACTATCAGTATTTTTTATTTTTTTATTTCATGTGTTTAAATATAATATTTTCTAGAATGTATAGTAATTTTATCTTCGATAATACTTCACAATTATTAGTGTAGAATAATAGTGTAGAAATTTGTGTATCGTATTGTCTAATATACACTTATTATTACCAACGATCGGTCATGTCAACATCTTTTAATGAAACATTTAATCAAAATCCATAAGATTAATTTTCCTTGATATGAGTCAATGGTTACCTTAATATTATTGTGTGATTCTATTTTGCTTTCTAATAATATTTTTTTTATATATTCATCAAATTCTGTTTATAATGTTATGCGATAGTTATGCAATTCTTATAAATTAATATTGTCTTTGTTTTGTGCAAGAAGTGATATAATTATTTTATAACAAAAATTATTTTAAATAAATTTCGATTAATTATACATAGTAAATATTTCCCAGCAAATGAGAATGGAACTGAAATGAATTGAAACGGATTCAGATTTTCAGAAATATTGATTCACGAATGTTAAAATGAATGCTTTTCAATCCTGAATGCATTTTTATTTATTTATAGGAATTGCATGGAGCATATCTCTATGCCTTTCTAAAAATAATATTAGCTTTTTCTGTGCATTGTGAATACTGTTTAATTCAAAATTTTGAATAAGAAATGCAGTTTTTCAATCCAATTGCATCCAATTGAATCCAATTAAATCCACAAAAAAAATATTCGCTATTTTTAAAATACGTATTCGGATAGAAAAAAATTTCAATCCATTTTAATCCATTCTCTCCCCTCTCCCTTTTGCTGGGTTAATAATTACTAAGGTAATTATTCTTTTATGATGTACTTTTCAATCGTGACAGATCACTGATAAACACAGCTTCCATAGTTTCTGCCGATCAAATTACAATGCCGCATAAAAATTATTTTAATCGATTTTAATTAATATGTAGTATGTAATATATTATTTATTGAATATCATATATTATATTACATTTAGTTTGTCAATTGGGGTGTTACTTTTTAATGTCGACATAATCCTTGCTTATCATTACAATAATAATCTTTTGTATCTTTTTAAAACATTTTCTTTCATATCTAAACATCTACACACACAATAATCTTTTTTTTATCTAAATGTTCACATAGTATAAATCGTAGTTTATCGTTCTGGATCTAATCTTCCCACATATTGTGAACCAACAGTTTATTATTTTAGAACAAACTCCCTCCTATGAAATGCATCCTCTACTACTCTTCTCATCTTCTTTCTTCGTTCTTTCCTTTCTGTTTTCGCTCTCGTAAATTTCTCGATATAATTCAGTCATCTTAATTTTTTTTAGATCAGTTTCAAAAATTCATCTATAAATGCACGTCTACAATGTGATCATAGTTTAGCTTACATCCTCTCTACTTGAAGTTCAATATGCTACGAGCATTTTGGCATATAAGTGAACTGACAAGCAATGTCTATCAGTAGATTATTGACAGATTCGAACAGAAATTGCAGGGTGGCATCGATTGTGTACATCCACATTAAGTTCTTCTGTTAGAGAACTGCAAAGCTTGCAAGCAGGAAATATGACAAATCACTGGCAAGCTTCCATAGTTTTTGCTGATCAAATTGTGTTGGATATATTTTGTTATATTTTTTCGAGGAACTTAACTATCTTCTGCTAATATTCTGCCGACAGCATTGCACGTATGGTAAATTCTGTATGGTCAAATTTAATCTCAAATTCAATTTCTTTCTACCAACAATATTTATGAAAAACATTTAGTTCGTTTTCATCGAATTAGCTCTGTCCAATATATAGAATAAAAGTTATGAAAGGCGTATTAAACTTATCGGTTTACTTGAGATTAAAGTATTTTATGTACAGTTGAACACGCGTGTGCGATACTTGGGGTATCTTTATGCATTCTCCACAACATGAAGCTTGACATAAGTGTTGGTACTTGAGCTATAAGAGAGCAAATCTTGAGACTTACCTTCCTTGACCTCCTTGCACTTCTCATCATTTTTATTACCACTCGTTTAATTACACTGAAAGTACGATTTAGCTGAAGTATCTAAAAATATAGCTGGATATAGATCTGAAAATTTCGTTAGCTATCAAAATAAATATCTAAAATTCTCAAACTAGTTGCTAGAATGTTTATAATTATCGTATCATGCTAGAGATTCCCATGTAATTATTTTGGTCCAACAAAATTATTTTCAAATCTGTATAGAGCTAAATTTTTAGATACTTCAGCAAAATCGTTCTTTCCATGTGACTAAATATTGTTCTTAAAAGTTTGCTTGTCAATGTAATTTTCGAAATATAAAAGAAAATATAACTGAGAATTTATTATTTTCAAATTTACACATTAGAATAAAGTAAATTGCTACTAGAAACAGTGAGATAATTTTACATATAATTATAATGTATCATTATTGTTTCATCTGAAATCTTTAATTTAAATCTCAACTGAGAAAATTATAATTTTTATTTGTTAAATTCTAGCAATTCGGTTTTTAAATTATTAAAGAAGAATTGCTTCTTGAAGATATTTTTGCTATTATTCATATTAATAATATTTAATTAATTAATAAAAAAAAAGACATTTTACTACAATTTTAAAATTAGTTGAATATAGCGAAAAAACAAAGTTGTAAATGTTATCGTTGTTTAATGTTTTTATTTATTAAGTTTTCGCAAATATATGAATTTCCTATTTTTCATTGAAAAGAATCAAAATATTTTTTACTACACGCGCGAGGCTTATCTTCTTCCTTGATGGAACATCGCCTCAGCAACACGAACACTAAACACCAAAACGGAGGCTGTCAGCGACGTCGTTGAGCGACTCTTGTTGCACCTCGTGCATGCATTCGTCGTCGGCTTAATGTGCATTCCGCTCGCGACGTTCACTAAAGAAAAATTCCTTTCGTGCTATTTTATTCGATCTCGATAACTAAAGACCTTTTGACGAAATTCAGTCACAAGATCACTTCTTGAAAGTCGAGCGAAAACCACAATAAAGTTTTATTAAATTGTCTTGTTCTTCCAGTTGTCTTGTTTTTTGACTGTCGTTTCGTGAAATTTAATATTTTATGGGTAATATAAATATAATGCTTCTTGTAACAATTAAAATACAGCTTAATTAATTAATTCTTTTATAATTAATACGAGAAACATTAAAAAGACAAAACTTTATCACCCAAAAGCTTTTTCATTATGAGAAATATTAACAATTTTTTTTCTTCTTTTATTACTTCTCTCATTTTTTTCTCGCAAATATTAAAAGACTTGTATCATTAAGAACATGTTTATTAATAGCAATAATAAAGCTGTATAGTAAATATATTCTACATCAATGATAATTATAAGATTGTTTGTTGAAAGCGAAAGGATTAAGAGGTCACAATATAGTAACATAGGCTATACATTCATAAATTTATACATTGTATTAGATGATTTCTTGTCGCATGCAATGCTATAAGGTCTGCTATATGGCTGAATTAGTATACTTTTAAAACTTAAGGTAAGATAGATATATATTTGATATTTGGTTAAAGCAAGAAAGTTCTAGTACAGTTTAGAATCCCTCCCCCCCTCTCAACAGAATTTGACCACAAACAATTTTGTTAAAAATTTGCTATTTCATTCTACCTTATACTATTTTATTCATTCCACTTACTAAAGTTGACAAAAACAATAGGCCAATCAAATGTTTACCATCTCATGGCTAGGCTCTGTTGTAGGGTTTCAGTGCATCTATTAATATAAGAACAAAAAACAAACCTATGATTCCAAGCCTCGCGTTCACACGAAGTCCCAAGCTATCGGAATCATTAGGAATCCGAGAAAAACCGTAGAACGGGAACATCCCAATTTCATCATCAAAGGGAACTTACCTCATAGAGAATCCGTCTTCCGAGACGTTTCCTCTAACCGCACCGATAACGTTCTAACATCAGCGTTAGTGTCAGCACTATTTCGGGAGCTGACAAAAACTGATCGCCGCGTTTCCGCGATAGAAACAGATGGAAAAGCGCGACTTCGTAGGTCTTGACACCGTCGGACGCGATTTTCCCAAAAGACTCTGCCGGTGTCTTTGAACACGTGACGGACCGACCTCTCTCCTCCCCGCTGTTGTTGCTTAAATATAAGGCGCGACCGCGTCGGCCGAAAAAGGCCGAAAAAGAAGAAGCCTTCCGCCGCAGTTACTTTTATGGCGGGCAAACATGCCCTTCCCAGCAAACGTGGCGCGCAGCGTTTCTTAACGACATGTTGCTGTCGCTCACGATGCATCCTGTCCATCTACGAATTCGTTCAACATTGAAATTCGACAAATTCGAGATATAAATCCTTGTGCGGAAACCGAATGATTTTGATATCGTTTTTCTTATGCTCTATTTAATTTCTTACAGAATATCGTTTGTAGAATTTTTTTGTTAATCTTTTTTATACAATTAAGAATTTTTTTAATATTATAAGAACGTAAAAAAGAAGGAAACTTGCTTGAATTTTTGATAAGCCGCGTTATTAAAATCCGTCGTCGATGATGACGATGACGATATGCCTCCAAATTGTCTGATGACTGATGTTGGGGAATTTGCTAATCGGGATCAACTAAATATCTAGAAGAAATCTTCCGCGGTATCAACAAACTTATCGTCACCGCAAAACGTTGTGACGTAAACGACTTTTGTAGGGTTACTGTTTTACAGTTGAATCATCTGCGTTTATAGCATGTATGACACCCTCCATTGACGTCACTTGAAATCCCTTGTTTCGAGCAAATCTATCTGCGATAATAATTGTCAATATTAAAGATCAAAATAAATTAATGAATTTGTAATTATTGCGAAAAAATTATTTTTTTTAAATATTTTCACTAAAGTATCATTAAAAACATAAAGAAATGGAA